GTAACATTATAATAACCGTTAAGGTCGAGCTTGAAATGAATAATTGATGAATTCGAAAAAAAAAAAATATATATGAGAGATTAAAAATACAAAATAGAAAAATACAGGAAAGGTTTGAGGTCGAGGAGGACCCGTTCTTGAGAGGTTGAAGTAGAGGGGGGATGTCTTCAAGGAGGAGGTCGAGGTAGCAGGTGACGGAAGCGGTCTGGGTCGAGAGGGAGCTGAGGTCGAGGCAGTTGAGATTGTAACTAAGGTCGAGGGTGAGATTGTAACTAAAGTCAAGGTCGAGGATGAGGCTATAGTTAAGGCTGAGGGTGAGGTTGTAACTAAGATCGACGTGGAGGGTAAGGTTGTAACTAAGGTCGATGGTGAGATTGAAACTAAGGTCAAGGTCGAGGGTGAGGTTAAAGCCAAAGTCGAGACAGATGAAGTTTGACGCTGACGATGAAAATGAGATCAAGGGTGAGGTTTTGTCTGTGGCTGAGGTTTGAGGTCGAGGATGAGGTTGCAGCACCGCATTCCGAGAGCGAGCAAGGGCCAGCGTGCGGTTTGATATGGAGCCGGAGTGCGAATCGCCCGTGTCCTTTGAAGGAGCTGGTCTCGAGGCTGGTACGTGAAAACGCGATCAACGCGTGGTCCGTGCGTGGTCGGGGATGGTGGGGGGGCGGGGGTGTTGGAGGAGGAGAGTGGAGGGTTGGGGAAGTGAGAGGCCGTGGGGAGAGGGGTGGGGGGAGAGGGGTTGGGGCAGCGAAAGGAATACTGGATTCTTCCCTCTCTCCCTCCCTCCCCCTCCCCCCACCACTGTTCTTCCTTCCTCCCCTCCTTCCCATTATTTGTCCTTTTCTTCTCTTTCACTCTCTCTCCTTTTCCCTTCCTCCCCCTCCCCATCCTCATCCTCTTCCTATCCTTCCTCCTCTCCCTCCCCTCCTCCCCCCCCTTCCACTTCCTCCTCCTCCTCCTCCCCTCTCCACTTCCACCTTATCCTCCTCCTCCTCCCCTCTCCACTTCCTCCTCCTCCTCCCTCCCTCTCCACTTCTCCTTATCCTCTTCTCCTCCCTTCCCTTCCTCCTCCTCCTCCTTCCCTCCCCTTCCTCCACTTCCTCCTCCCTCCTCTCCTTCCTCCTCCCTCCTCCTCCTCCTCCCCTCTCCCTTCCTTCCTCCTCCTCCTCATCCCCTCTCACTTCCTCCTCCTCCTCCTCCCCTCCCTCTCCTCCTCCCCTCCTCCCCTTCCACTTCCTCCTCCTCTCCTCCTCCCCTCTCCACTTCCTCCTCCTCCCCCCTCCTCCTCCTCCTCACTTCCTCCTCCTCCTCCTCCCCTCTCACTTCTCCTGCCTCTCTTCCTCCTTCCTCTCCTCCACCTCCTTCCTCCTCCTCTCTTCCTCTCCTCCCTCCCCCCTCTCCACTTCTCCTCCTCCCCTCTCCACTTCCCCTCCTCCTCCTCCTTCTCCCCTCTCCACTTCCTCCTCCTCCTCCTTTTTATCGTCTACTTCCTCCTCCTCCCCTCTCCACTTTCCCTCCTCCTCCTCCTCCCCTCTCCACTTCCTCCTTATCCTCCTACTCCTCCCCTCTCCACTTCCTCCTCCTCCTCCTCCCTTCCCTCTTCACTTCCTCTCCTCCTCCTTCCCCTCTCCACTTCCTCCTCCTTCCTCCTCCACTTCTCCTTATCTCTCCACTTCCTCCCTCACTCCCTCTCTCCATTCCTCCTCCTCCCCTACTTACTCCTCCTCCTCCTCCCCTCTCCACTTCCTTCTCCTCCTCCTCTCCACTCCTCCTCCTCCCTCTACTTCCTCCTCCTCCTCCTCCCCTCTCTTCCTCCTCCTCCTCCTCCTTTTATCGTCTCTACTTCCTCCTCCTCCTCCTTCTCCTTCTATCGTCTCCTTTCACTCTCCGCGTTTGTGCTGCCAGACATCCGCGAGACAGCGGTCTTTGGAGAAACTAGAAAAAAAATCTTTGCGACTTATATTCGCCTCTTTCGCTTCGCTCTCCCTCTCTTTCGGTTTTGCTTCGTTATGCTTTTATACTTCCTTTCTCTTACCTTTATTGTATCTCTTCTCTTCTCTCTTTCCATCACCTTATCTCTCCCCTCCTCCCTCTGTCTCCCCCCTTATTTCCTCTCCCCTTCTCCTTTCCTCCCTCCCTCCCTCTCTCTCTCTCTCCTTCACTCTCCCATCCCCCTCTCCCTCCTCCTACCCTCCACCCTCCCTCTCTCCTTTCCTACCCTCCCCTCCCCCTCCCCTCCCCTCCCTCCCCTTTCCCTCCCTCTCCCTCCCTCTCCCTCCCTCTCCCCTCCCCCTCCCTCCCCTCCCTCCTCCCTCCCCTCCCCTCCCTCCCCCCTCCCTCCCTCCCTCCCTCCCTCCCGAATTGCGGACTAATTAACGCGGATCTCCCTCGTCGGCGGTCCGGTCTCCGCGTCAGAGGCCGAGTCGGACGAGGAGCAGCATCCGAGGAATCTTGCGGCGGAGGGAAAGAAGTCGTTTGCGGAGTCATCGGTTTTAATCAACTCGAGGGAGATGGGGGTGGGTATGGGAGCGGGGGGGAGGGAGGGAGGAAGGGGAGAGGGGAGGGAAGAAAAGGGAGAGGGGAAGGGACAGGGAGGGAGGAAGGGGGAAGGAAGGGAAGGGAGGAGGGAGGGAGGGGAAGGGGGAGGAAGGAAGGGGTAGAGGGACAGAGACAGGAAGATGTATAAGGAAAGGGAAAAGGAGATGAAGGAAAAGGAGAAGAAAAGGGAAGGAGAAGGAGAAGGACAGGGATAGGGGAAAATGGAAAAAGAAACGAGGAAGAGAGTTAGACTTACAGGAAGAAGGAGAAGAAGCTGAAGAAGAAGAAGAAGAGGAAGAAGAAAGAGGAGGAGGAGGAGAGGTTAGAAGAGGAGGAACAACCAAGGGACTAACCAAACCACCAACGTAGACGAAGAAATGAGAGATAATCCGAAGGAAATCGAATGAACACAAAGCAGGAAGCGACGGTCACCTCCCCTGTCCGAGGCGGTGGCGGCCGAACAGCTGATTAGACAGGTATTGGCCAGGGACGTCTTGATTACACCTGGGGGAGGGGGGAGGGGGGTGACTGATCGCCTGACGCCTTGTCTGCTTGCGTTTGCGTCTGTGTTTGTGTGTGAGTGAGTGAGTAGTGTGAGTGGTTGTGAGTGTGTGTGTGTGTGTGTGTGTGTGTGTGTGTGTGTGTGTGTGTGTGTGTGTGTTTGTGTCAGCGTCTTTGTTGCGTCATTGTTGATATCTATAATTATATATCCGTATTCACATGTGTCAGTATCTACGCATGCCTCTTGTGTGTAGGGGTTATAAGTGTAGGTGCATGTGTCTGTATGTCACGCATGGTGTATCCTTTACATGAGTGCACACTTAATCCGGATAAGCGAACACAGGTGCCATTTTTACAGAAGACAGCAGAAAGGAGGGAAGAATGGCACTCATTTGGCATCTGAGTGTCAGAGTTAGTGGCACCTTTGGCTGATCTGACACATTCAACGAGAGGAGATTCTACCTTTTGAAAAATACCTGGATATTAAATGGACTGGTGTTAGCTATATTTATTTATCTCCAGTTTTTTAATTAACAATGAATTCCGTATAATATTTATTTTCTTATATATATATATATATATATATATATATATATATATATAATATATATATATATATAATATATATATATATATTTATTTGTTTATTTATTTATTTTTTTGTACATTCATTGTCGAAGATTAATGTTTATTTCAATATATTTGCAAGAAATGAAGTCCTTGAATATTAAGGAGTGAAAATAAAAGAATAATTAAGGAGTGTTTTCGTGTCTCCGTTTGGAAGACGTCGTGTGGCTCGGGGAAGCAGCGATCGGGTCCCGCAGCGTTGCCAGGTCGGAATTTGGTCTGATCTGTATTTTTTCTTCATTTTATTCGTCTTTTTCTCATTCTTGGGTTTTCGGTCGAATCAGTAATGTTTTTTTGGTTTCTTTTTATTCGTCTTCTTTTTTTCTCATTTTCTTGGGTTTCAATGTAATCAATAATCTTTTTTCTCTTTATTCGTCTTCTTCCTCTTTTTATTCTCATTTTCTTGGCTTTCGGTCATATCAGTAATATTTTTTCTTTCTTATTTTTTTTCTCATTTTCTTGGTTCTCGTTCGAATCTGTAATATATTTTTGTTAGTTTTTATTCGTCTTCTTTTTTGTTCTCAATTTCTTGGCTTGCGGTCTAATCAGTAATATATTTTCTTTCTTATTAATGAATTTCTTAATAAAGGACGGATGTTGCAGGATCGCGTTGCTAAGGATTGCAGGATTTGAAGAAGGATAGAAAGGGAGGAAGGATGGGAAGGAGGGAAGCGGGAAATAGGAGAGTGAATGGATAATAGGAGGAGAGGAGTGAAGCGGAGTGTAGGATGGATGGAAGGAAAGAGGGACGTAAAGAAGAAATTAAGAACGCAAGGAATGAGGGAAATCAAGAAATCAAGAAGGTAAGGAATGAGGGAAGTAAGGAAGAAATTGAGAAAGTAAGGAAAGAGGGAAGTAAGGAAGAAATCAAGAACGTAAGAAGAGGAGGGAGGAAAGGAAAGGTATTAAATACGTGAAGGAAGAAGGTGGGGAGAAAGGGATATCGAAGATGAAATGAAAGAAAGAAGAACGGAAAAAGTAAACTGTAAAAGAGAAATAAAGAGAAGAAAAGAAAGGAAGCAAAGGAAAGGCAAAGGACGAAAGAGGGGGGAGGAGATAGAACGAAGAAGAAGGAAAGGAAATGGCAAGAAAAAGAGAGAGGAAGAAGGAAGCGAAAGGGAAGAAAGGAAAGAAAGGAGATAACAAAAAAGAGAAAGAGAGAGGAAGGAGACAAAGGGGAAAATAAGAAAAAAATAAGGAAGAGAGAGAGGAAGAAAAGGAAGCGAAGGGGAAGAGAAAAGGGAAAAGGAAAATGAAAGAGAGAGAGAGAGAGATAGCGAGCGACGAAGGAAGGAGCGTGGGGGGGGGAGATAAAACGAAGAGGAAGGAAAGGA